ATTTCCTGCTTCACCATCCAGCAGGATACCCATCCACTTCTACCCCCTCCCTTCACATCTATCTCCCTTTCACCAGCCCTCCATCTAATAACTTATATATGAAGCTTCCGTGGCTTCTGTGATTTCAAACACATCAGCTGATGGTAGTTCCTTATGTTGGGATCAGTGTCTCTGAAGTTTAGTCGTAATGTTTTCTGATCAGAACTGGGAAGATGGGATGGGTCTGCGGGTCTGAGGCCGTCCTCTAAGGTGCCCAACTTCAGCTAGTCAGATGCCTAGCCCCTCCTCTGAGCTTCCTGCCAGAACGGATGTCGCAGGGTTTTGGGTTGGGGGTAGACTGAGAAAACTGGATAAATTATGTATACTGCATTGAAACAGATGAGGGAGAGAATTGTTTAAAAAGAATATGTGGTTAGGTATTATTGTCATGACAGGAGTTCAGAATGAAGGCTGCATTGTGGAGTGGACTTGGGGGGTGGGATTGTATAACAATGAAATAATTTTTCTTTTACTTTTCAAAGAGAAGAGTGAACTGGGGGACGGGGCGGGCAGGGAGAAAAGTTCAACAATGAATGAACGGAAATTCAAAATTTCTGTAAATTTTCATTAAAATTAATAATAATTTTTAAAAAGAGGAGAAAAAAAGTCATGCCGTGTATCCTTTTTGGCGGTTGTCTTCCTTAGACAGTACATCTCTTAAGGGTGAAGATTTAAACTGACTGTATGTCTGGTTTCACTGTTTATAATAGTGCTGGATGTACAGTAAGTAGTTTGATACTTGCAGAGTAAACAAAACATAAAGAGAACTTGAAAAAGATAAAGCCAGTCTAAGAAATAAGACTATTATTATCTCTATGGACAAGAAGTGTAAAATAATACCAAAAGATTAAACAGTAGGCAATCAGTAGATAAATGGATAACATATGAAGAGAAAACTAGAGGGATAGAGAAATACTCTTAAATAAAATTAGCTATTCTGTGGGCCAGAAATAAAAATACAAAATAGTGCCAAAGCATATAGGATGAATGAATGAAAGAATTTCATCATGTAAAGAGAGCAAGCCAGAATAAGACTAGGAACTCTATAGACAAGAAACATAAAAGGCCAAAAGTAAGTGCTTAGAAAATGTCAATTTATGGTTTGCGATGAAATGGCTAAACACACCAAGAAAGTCAGGATCATAGGTAAATACGGGACCTGTTATGGTGCCTCCCTTAGGAAGCTGGTAAAGAAAATTTAAATTGGTCAGCATGCCAAGTACACTTAATCCTTCTACAGCTACATCAAAATAAAGAAACAAGCTGTGGTAATCTGGCACTGTGGTTCTTGGCATGAAGACATTAGTAGTTGGTGGTGCCTGGACCTACACCACCACCTCCCTACTTGCCATCAGAAGAGTGAAGGAACTGAAAAACCAGTAGAAGCTTCCCCATTTGGAGCATCTCTAGCTTTTAATAAATGGATTAATTTATGTTAAAAAAAAGTCAGTTTACTGACTCAGGCTTTATCTATAGGTACTGCCCTAATTGTAAGCAGCAACAGTTGGCTCCCAAGCAGTTGGACCTGTGGAGGCTGCCTGAAATCCTGATTATTCACCTGAAGCTCTTTTCCTACACCAAGTTCTCTCTAGAGAAGCTTGACATCCTTGTGGAGTTCCCTAGCTGCTCTAGGGAATAGCAGAGAGGGGGTCGAGGATGGCTGCATGGGAGACAAGCAGTGCCTAAGAAGGCACCAGTATTACTCTTCTCTCTAAATTGCACTGGAGCGCAGAGAAGCCAAAGCACAAGGAGGAATTCAAGATACTAAAGAGCTGAATAGAAGATTTCAAAAGGCAGCACGGGATGACAAAGCAA